CAATGGGACTGCAGGCCAAGTCAGGCCCATGGCACAATCTCATTCGGCCGGCAAAATCATTGTAATTAATATTCGCCCATTTTACCATGAACTACACTACAGTCCCCAGCATGCACTGCAACGCAACGTGTTCTCCCACCCCCTCCACAACAACAATCTATGAGAGAGCACCATAAAAACAAAACAATACAAAAAACATGCCAGGTGTCTCGTTATCTGCAGCTAATGTAGTCTATTGTTTTATATTAAATTGTATATATTTGTTTAAAATCAATTTTGAATTGCTCAAGTATTCAGTGCCTATTTGTTGCGGTGGTAGTTTTGTCATATTTTAAACTGTTATGTCAAAATGTTAAGGAAAAATAAATAAAAACAGCTGGCCCACAGATTTGCTGAGACTTTTTTAATATGGCCCTTTTAGTGGTTGAGTTTGACACCCCTGATCTACATAATCTATAATACTGATAAAAAGAATACAAATAAAAAAAAATAACAACATTAATCATTTTTGAACATCCAGCACAAAAGTGGATGCACTTACTTAACATGCATATTGGTATAATCAAACGCCGCAATTATTCCAGGTTCCATTTAAAGACCTTACACTGTGCTTTTGTTTTGTACTATGGACTCCGCCCACAATACACAACACAGCTAGTGTCATAGACTGCAATAATACAGTGTTTAAATCTGCTGTTTAGGAAAATAATCACATCATGCTAAAGTCTAAAATTAAGATGTTTTGTTTGTTTCATATATATAATTTTTTCCAGTGGCTGTAATTTTAACACTGTAAAGTTTGGTCAATAGGGGGAGCAGTGCACTCCCTGCTTGGCCTCAAACTCCGCCTACAAGCACAGCCACTGGCTCATGAGCAGCTGAACGCTGTTTTATTTGCTTCTGCTGAAACATCTGCATGAATTAGGGCATGTTTCATGTAAATGATATGTAAATGAGGTGTTAGTAGGCTGGCGCTTGATTTCACGCACTAAAGCCGACTGCGCTCAAATCTTCGCTTGTACGAAAGTTTCAAAAATCAGATGCAGACTAGTTTGTACGTCGTTAAAGGTGGTCAAATCTACATTCGTTTTTAAGTAACTTCAATGAATGAGGGTTGTCACTACTGTCGGAACAAAACCTTTTATCTCCATTTTTGTGGTTTTTCAGTTTTTCACATAATTTGAAAATACCTGTTGGCCTTTACATTATATGTAAATTTCATGATGAATGGACCAAGAGAAACAGCCCAAAAATACTTGGAATAAAGTTTGGTTCCATTGACTTACATTAAAAGTAAAGTAGGTTTTTTCCTTCTCCTGTAAAGTTACCATTTTGTAGATGAGGTTTTGTTCTGACAGTAGCGATATGTTCATATAATAACAGTGCACTGTGTTTAATTAACACTGTTGTTATCTATAAAAGGGACAACACTACGTCACATAGCTAAAAACAGTCGCCATCAAGCCTGAATGTCTCTCCACTTTGTCCTGTGCTAACTGGTGTACATAAGTTTCCATTACCTGTTAGCTACATTAGCCTCATAGCTTCAGTTCAGAAACCAAAGAAGCAAATATCAGACATCAACCATGGCTCGGCTGATCGGCTGCATTTGGAGTGAGAGGGGAATTCGATTTTTTGTGAAACTATTCCTTTCACAATCTTTGCGAATGCTTACGAGCAGAGAGACGAAGAGTGATGAACGCAGCTTAAACAGTGAGACATCGCAAATCACCGTGTCAGTCCTCTCCCTCTAATAGGCCGAATAAACCATCGCCTTAAGCCGCTTAAGTGACAGGAAACGAGCAGACTGACACAAAATGGCTGCCATCCTTCTTCATTACGCACTGCTGTCACCCAGTGAAACGTTCTGGAGAGGCTGCTGGAGGAGAGAGCTTTACTCCCGCTCACCTGCACAGCTCTATATCCATCACAGCCCCGCAGCCGTGAACGCCGAGGTCCCGGCTGGGGAGTCGGCCTGGTGGGCAATTACACAGTCCATCACAAACCTGGGGACCCTGTGCCGTCTTCTGAAATTTTACCACTAACGTTTAATTTTCACTCTGCAAACTTTCAGTCTATCATAAAGCAGCTCTGTGCTGATGGTTTCTGTACATTTATCTTCAGCACTCAGCTTCACCTTCAGCAAAGTGTCCGTCTTTATATATATGAAGAGCAGGATTTACCTAAATGTTTTCCTTCTGTGCAGCGACGTACGGGGATTTGGTAGGGCTGCATATCCAAACAGATGGATTGATTAACAGCAACTGCTAAAATTAATTGTAAAAATATCTTAACTTTAAAATAATGTGTGTGTATAGAGTAAAAATAAATAAATAAAATGAAAATAAAAAAAATACTGTAAAAATATGGTAAAAAGTTTGGCAACGGGGCTTCAGACCAAACGTGTTAATTACCAGTAAAATTGTTTTTCAATGATGATCAAAATCTGTAAAAATACGGTCATTTAATTTCTAAGAAAGTGAAAAAAGTCAAGATATTTTTTGGGAATTTACATTATATTTCTGTAAATCAACAGCAGGGTTAAAATACAGTGTATGCACAGTCTGTTCATATATTTAATCTATTTTTTTAATAAATTTGCACATTTTACTGCACTTTGACAGTGAACCTACTTTACTTTTAATGTAAGTCAATGGAACCAGACTTTTTTCCAAGTATTTTGGGCTGTTTCTCTTGGTCCATTCATCATGAAATTTACATATAATGTAAAGGCCAACAGGTATTTTCAAATTATGTGAAAAACTGAAAAACCACAAAAATGGAGATAAAAGGTTTTGTTCCGACAGCGGTGATGACCCTCATTCATCGAAGTTGCTTAAAAACGAATGTAGATTTGACCACCTTTAATGACATACAAACTACTCTGCATCTGATTTTTGAAACTTTCGTACAAGCGAAGATTTGAGCGCAGTCGGCTTCAGTGCGTGAAATCAAGCGCCAGCCTACTAACACCTCATTTACATATCATTTACATGAAACATGCCCTAATTCAAGCAGATGTTTCAGCAAAAGCCAATAAAAGTGTTCAGCTGCTCATGAGCCAGTGGCTGTGCTTGTAGGCGGAGTTTGAGGCCAAGCACAGTCTATTTATGTATTTAATCAATTTTTTTTATAAATGCGCACATTGATGATTACATTTTACTGCACTTTGACAGTGAAAATACTTTAACAGTGTAGCAAAGACTTGCGTGCACTTGTTTTAGAGTAGAGTTTGTATTTTTGTCTTATTCACATATTTTTAAAACCTCCAATAGCAGTGCACTGTTTAAGTTAACAACTTATTTTAAAGTTATATTTTTTATTACTGTGAGTCAAGTTACTCCTCTTGCTATATATATATATATATATATATATATATATTATATATATACACACACACACACATATACACAGATCCCAGCATACTGTCGGACTGTTCAACTATTAGTGGAAGTTAATGGAGAAAGTATTTATTCTGGGTCATTTCTGGGCCATTTCTATTGGTCCATTCATCATGAGATTTTGAAACAATGTAAAGGGAAACCACCAATTTCAAATTATGTCAAAGGGTGAAAAAAAATAAAAATAAAATAAAAAATTGGGTACTAGAAACTACCAATTATAACAATATAATATAATATAATAATAATATAAGAATAATATAATAATAGAAATTATTATTTATTTATTGTAAAACAAAATAGTATATAAATTCACACTAGAAACAACAACGTATGTACAAAAAGCACCAAACAAACCATTCCATCTGGGTAATTTGTGAGTGTCTCTGCTATCTGCCCTGAGGTTGGGCTTGTTTTCTTATGTGTCGTCTTCTTGTGTTGCAGATCTGTCTTTACAGAAATTGTGTGCACTGGCATATTTTTCCCTCACTCTCTCCCTCAGTCTCCCTCACTCTCTCCCTCTCTCTCCCTCACTCTCTCCCTCTCTGTCCCTCAGTCTCTCTCTCTCTCTCTCTCTCCCTCAGCATGACGGCTGTAGCCGTGCAGGAGTGTTCAGGTCAGTGTGACCCTGAATGAAACTGTGGATGATGAGAGTGATGTGCAATTGAGTTGGGGTGAAGTGTGTGACGTTAGCGTTAAGAGGTTCAGGGCTGGTTGAAAAAAAGGTGATGTCCTGGTTCCTGGTGGGGCCCAATAATAATAATAATAATAATAATAATAATAATAATAATAATAATAATAATAACAACAATAATAACTGGGGGGCTGGTTGCCACAGGCCCCCCTGCACCAAAGGCCCCAGTGTGACTGCCCCCTCCTCCTGCAGAATTTATTGAAACAAGCAAATTTATCTGCATTATTTCTAGAAACAGGTAAAATGATCTACCAGTGGAACAAAAAACTTTCACTACATGGAAATTAAGTGTGTGGAAATAAACTGATCAAATAATATTGCTAAATCAATCTAGATAAATATTAGATATTGACTACATTTAAGGATATTTTTACTGGTCAAGATATTATAAGAATATTTTACAGTTCAGTAGTAACATTACAGTTTAATTAAACTGAAGGCAGTGATGTATTTTCACTCCAAAGTGACATTTTTATAAGTGGAATTGTCTTAATTCTAGTCTAAATATTTAATATCTCTCATGTTGAGATTATTGTGAGCATATAATATTATTTAACTTATGTCTAGACATTTTTACTCATTTGAAGAAGTTGTATTATATATCTTATTTTAAAAAACAAGTAAAATTATCTGCTAAATAGTGGGATAATTTTACTTTAAAACAAGGAAAAACATCTAGAAATAAGTCAAATAATTTATAATATTCCCATAAACGTGTCAGAATGAGACATTTTTGATATTCAGACTCAGATTTAAAATGATTTCTCTTGTTAAGATTGCAGTGAACCCTTTTTAGCACCCTTATGTGATTAATCTGAGGGGTGACTGAGCGCTGGGTGCAGAGAGAGTGAGCTGAAGAGTGAGGTGTGCCCACTCTGTGGGTGGACGGTCGTTTGAGGAGCTACCTGAAGCCGAAGGCCGGGTTTCATCGCTTTAGCCGTGACAGGAGTGCGAGCGGCGGGCTGTCCGGATCTGCTCTCAGGCTGGCTGTGACACGAGCGCGGATGATGAACACACAGCCTCTCCTCCGCTTTCTCCTGACGCATCATCCGCCGGATAATCCTCTCTGGATCCCCTTCAGGAAGGGCACTGCAGGAGAGACGCCGCTGTCAAACCATCGCAGACCAGGGGCCAAGATAACCCCCGCGGAGATGGCAGGATAAAGAACGAACTGAGAGAAATTCCTCCTGGGAAGGGTCCTGATGCCAACAGGGCTGAGAGAGAGAGAGAGAGAGAGAGAGAGAGAGAGAGAGAGAGAGAGAGAGAGAGAGAGAGAGATAGATAGATAGATAGATAGATAGATAGATAGATAGAGAGAGAGAGAGAGAGAGAGAGAGAGAGAGAGAGAGAGAGAGAGAGAGCTTTAGAACACAGAACAGAAACACTGGCAGGAAACTCTCCACACTATATGAGCTATAATGAGACACTGGTTCCAGTAGTCCAAGTTATCGGCAGCCGTATTTAAAAAACAACAACAAAAAAAGCTGTAATTTTATACACTGCAAAAAAATGGTGTCTTGTCAAGTAAAATGATCTTAAATATAGTCAATAAATCCAATATTTATCCTGCAGAGATTGTTTTAAACTTAATTTAACATTATTTAATTTATTTCTGGACATTATTTTAGGTAATTTTATTAAGTAAAATCTTCTCACTATATTTGCAGATAATTGTTCTTCTTAAAAATGATCAGGTAGATGATTACAGTCAACAGATATGTGAATATTGAATTTATTGTCCTACTGCAGGGGCTGATCTCTAGTTAAGATCAAGATAAAGATTATCGAAGTCAAATGATCTCCCTGGCGGATAAATTTGCTTATTTTAAGAAATATGCTTGAAGCAAACAAATTATTTGAGAGGAAGAGGACAGTGGGCCGCTGACGGTGTGGGATTTTTCCTTCCTTTCTTTTTTTAGCTATACTTTGTAAATTAGTTTAGTAATTTTAATCCAGCTCAGCATTATCAACAACATTTTCTATAAAATCATTTCATATCAGGCCTAGTCATTATTTTTGTTCTCTCAGTGGTTTGTAATATTTGTAGCAATATAGTTTATTTTCCAAAATAAAAGTCTCTGTGCGTTTAAAATCTGTTTGAAGAGATTAAAAACTAGTTAGAGCTTGTATGCAAGACAGTAATCTGGGTGGTCCGAGGGTGGACCAGCAGTGGAACACAGTCAGTGGGGTGCTGACCATATCAAGCCAGTGGACCGATATACGCTGCTATCTGGAATCTGCCAATATGGTGACTTAAAATTACTCACAACAAGTAAAAATGTCTAAAAATAAGTTAAACAATCTTATAATAAGCTTAAAACAGAAAACAGACTAACATAAACAAAGTTAGTTAGACACCTCCACCAAAACAATCATTACACTCTTACAAATGACGCTTCTTTAAGGCTTCTTTAGTAAAGAAAGTGGATCTACGCAGAACTACAAGAATAGGGATTTTCAAAAAGGATCTATATAGAACCGTCTACTGCACACTCTCCATCAATCTGAAGAAACATTTCATGATGCAAAGAACCGTTTAATCGTGTAGAGGGTCCTTTAGTGTTCTCGGTTTTATATAGAACTATTCACTTTATTAAAGAACCCTTGAAGAACCATCATTTTTAAAAGCGTACCGATGTAAAAATGTTAAAACAACACTGAAGCGTGTTGAGCTGAATGTTCAAAAAAGTTGTGAATGCTGTGAGAGCGCCCCCTATTGTTTATCAGAGCATCACCGCTCTCCAGTTTCAGTCTCCATTTCCCAAACGCTTTAGCCGAGCGCGCTAACGTTACTCCTCCTCATAAACAGACACACGTTCAGCTCCGTCTCCTCATTATTCACCACCATCACTGTAATATTTTATTTGGCAAGTTTTCATCAACAGTAAAGTAATTAGAGGGAGTGGCGGAGAACGTTCCCACTCATGTCTACAGTGTTTTCGATCTACAGAGATAAATAAGAACAAAACAAAACAAAAAAAAATAATAATAATAATAAAATCGGTGAATATAATGAACTTGAAAGTACTTCATGCCATATTTAATGACAGCAAAATCTCACTCTGAAAGAGCACAGGGCGAAAAGAAGGACATCAGAAATGGTGAACAAGGTAAGAACAAGGTAGATGTTTCTAATAAAGTGGCCGGTTAGTGGAAGAACAAGGTAGGTGTTTCTGATAAAGTGGCCAGTTAGTGGAAGAACAAGGTACGTGTTTCTGATAAAGTGGCCAGTGAGTGGAAGCAGAATGTGTGTGTTTCTAATAAAGTGGCCAGTGACTGGAAGCACATGGTCAGTATTTGTAAGTAGCCTGTGAATCTTAAACACTCTGATAAACTTAAGAATTTAACATGGTCACTGTGTCACATCTGGCAGGAGATGTTTTCATGTTATCTTAAATGGAGGCGTGTACAGGCGCACCCTCACTTCACAAATTCCCGATGAGCTTTTGGGGATTATTTTGACAGTTTATCGGCTGTCATCCTCCATCAGACGCGCTAAAACAGCCACAAAGCTTCACTCGTGCTGCCTCTGTTCTCTCTCCTCTCTGACATTCAATGATTACCTGTCAACACTCCGGCCCAGCCGCAGGCCCGGCTCATCCCACTGTAGCGCCGATTCTATTAACACCCCCCGACGCCCCCACGCCCTTCTACCATCCCTCCATCCCGCTATCCCTCCATCCTCTTTCTCCCCTCTATTGACTTTCAGCTCCATGCTCCCTCTCTCTCTGGCTCTGACCCTGCCGCTTCATTTCCAGCACCTTTGAGTCCGCACTGCCACTGCGGCCAGAGCGGCTCCCAGAGCCTCAGGCTGTCACGCGGTCTGTGCCAGTGTTGAACAAAAGAAAAGACAAGAAAGGAAGAGAAGAGGACAAAAGGAAAGGAAAGGCAGAAATGAAAAGAAAGGAATTAAACATATAAACATTCTTAAATGTCGCTGTTGTCGGAAGAAAACCTCATGTCCATTTTTGACGTTTTTCAGTTTTTGGCGTAATTTGAAAATGCCTGTTACTCTTTACATTATATGTAAATATCATGATGAATGGACTAAAAGAAATGACCTAAAATGACTTGGAAAAAATTCTGGTTCCATTGACCTACATTAAAAGTAAAGTATGTTTTTTCCTTCTCCTGTAAAGTTACCATTTTGGAGATATGAGGTTTTGTTCCAACAAAAATCCAGCAATATTCTTATTTACAAAAATCCAAGCAGATTTTCTCATAAAAGGAATTTGTCTTCGGTTTTACACACTTAAGCCCAGATGAGATGATGTAATTTTACCACTTTATTTCTCATATTTATGACCAATTCTCACAGGATAAGAAGTCTCGGTCTCGGGTTATTAGGCTAGTCCACTATAGATCATCTACAGATGATCAAACTGTTAAACACAGTTGATTCTAAACAGTGGTGGGGTTAGGATTTGGACCGGGGTGAGGGTTGGGTTTAGGTTTTAAGTTAAGGTTAGGATTAGAGCACGTTTAGAGTTAAAGAAAATTCTGGTTTAGTAGATATTTAGTTCATTTAATGTAACTTGAAAGTAAACTATCTACAAAGCATCTAAAGTGGACTATCCAAATAAAGTGTTACTGAAATCTCAGTATAAATGACAGAGATGGGAGCTTAACTCTGTTTTTGCACTGCTGCTATTCCAGAAAAGAGTAGAAAAGATGAGAAAACATTTAATTTAGACGTTTTTCCATTAACTCTAACCATCTGTCTACTGTCTTAAGTGGATGTAGGGCATGACTAGAATTGTCATTACCTGGCAATTTACAGCCAACAGTCAACCTCAATGAATAAAATCACATTTTTTCTGTAATTTTTACATCTTTTCATGTTCTGAGTCGAACACTTTGGGTAGAACAGTGCATGTCGATTTGATCTGAGCCAAGAACGCTGAAAATAGTATCTTGTCAAGTGAAAAGATCTCAAATATAGTCAATATATCTAACATTTTGCATTTTGAGATGGTTGTGCACTTAGTATAAGATTATCTGGCTCATTTCCAGAAATGTTTTACTTGTTTTAAGTAATCAGATAAAATTTCTCTCACTCTACTGGCAGATAGTTTTGCTGGTTTCAAACACAGTTTTACCTAAAACAAGTAAAAATGTCTAGAAATAAATGAAATAATCTTAAATTAAGCTTAGAACAATCTCAACAGGAGACATATTAGATTTATTGACTATATTTGAGATAATTTTACTTGATGAGACACCATTTCTTGCAGCGAAATTGCTTCTCTGTGCGCTTTCATACTTTAGAACCTCCTTTTCCACCGGAAAGCATTTTTACTGATATGTCAGTTCACACAGGATTAGTATAAACTGAGATTATTTCTACTGCTTGTTTTAAAGCTAGGTGGCAGAATCTACTGATGATGGAGGATGCAGTCCATTAATCAGGTAGGAGTTAATCAATAAAAATTAACCACCTGCACATGTACAACTAATCTTGTCTAAACAGGGTCTTAAACAGTAACAGACATCCACACCTGAGTTCTACACTGTTAGAAATAAAGGTTCTGTGCAGGTATCACAGATACAAACAGTGTAAATGTTCCCTCAAAAGGTTCAACAGTGGTTTTAAGGTCTGATTGTGAACCTTAAATAAGTTTTTCCAGGTGAAAAGTTTGTATTTGTACCTTTTCATAACCGAATGTTTTAAACAGAACAGTAAAATAAAGTCCTGGAGACGAGACGGGGTGTGTGGAGTCAGTACAGCTTAGAACATATCATTTCAGTGGATTATGGTTCAGTTATGTTCCCTGACTAAAGGTACTGAGATGGACCCTTGAGGGAACCACCCCAGTGACAAGAGGGGGACTGACCCAGAGACAGTTTAGTACCTATTTCTGAGAGTGTACCACATTTTTGGCCATTTCCATAAATACTCTTTGCAAATTTTGGCTGAAAAAGAAAAGAAACAAAAAAAGAACTGCTAAACAGACAAAAATGAAGGAAATTTGAAGAATTAAACTCTTCTTGAAGTGCAACGAAAAGCTCAGCGCAAAGGCCATCTTCAAAGCGAAGTCCCTGGCCATAAAAACACATTTTTTCTGTTCAGTTCATTTTAATAAATAGT